TCCTAATATTTGTTCTCATTCCCACAGTCAGTATCTGCCAATTCCAAGCTTGGAGTTTCATCAGAAAGTTGGAAAGATATCATGATATATTTTTAGTTGGTCCACTACTGTGCTTAAAGCTTCAATTAATTTTCTGTCTTTTAAAAGTATGAAATCTCTCACAGACTGTTTTCTCTCTCATGTCTTTCTTCCCCTCTCTCCCTCTCTCTCTCTCACACATATATACCCCTTCATGTTCTCTTTCTATTAAAGTCCCATTTTCTTTTTTAAAATATATTTTATTGATTATGCTATTACAGTTGTCCCATTTCCCCCCTCCATTTCCCTCCACCCTGCACACCCCCTTCCACCCACATCCCCCCTTTAGTTCATGTCCATGTGTCACAAGTTCTTTAGCTTCTACATTTCCCATACTATTCTTGCCTCCCCCCCCATCTATTTTCTACCTACCATCTATGCTACTTATTCTCTGTACCTTCCCCCCCAACCCTTCCTCCTCCCACTCCCCTGTTGCTGACCCTCCATGTGATCTCCATTTCTATGGTTCTGCTCCTGATCTAATTGTCCACTTAGTTTGTTTTTGTTTTAGGTGTGGTTGTTAATAACTGGGAGTTTGCTGTCTTTTTACTTCTCTTCTTTTTCTTAGATAAGTCCCTTTAACATTTCATATAATAAGGGCTTGGTGATGATGAACTCCTTGAACTTGACCTTATCTGAGAAGCACTTTATCTGCCCTTCCATTTTAAATGAAAGCTTTGCTAGATAGAGCAACCTTGGATGTAGGTCTTTGAATTTCATGACTTGCAATACTTCTTTCCAGCCCCTCCTTACCTGTAAGGTCCCTTTTGAGAAATCAGTTGACAGTCTAATGGGAACTCCTTCGTAGGTGACTGTTCCCTTATCTCTTACTGCTTCTAGAATTCTCTCCTTCATTTTAATCTTGGGTAATTTAATCTTGGATGATGTGCCTTGGTGTATTTTTCCTTGGGTCCACCTTCTTTGGGACTCTCTGAGCTTCCTGGACTTCCTGGAAGTCTATTTCCTTTGCCAGATTGGGAAAGTTCTCCTTTATTATTTGTTCAAATAAGGTTTCCACTTGTTGCTCTTCCTCTTCCCCTTCTGGTACCCATATAATTTGGAAGTTGGAACCTTTAAAGATGTCCTGGAGGTTCCTAAGCCTCTACTCATTTTTTTTGAATTCTTGTTTCTTTATTCTTTTCTGATTGGATGTTTTTTTCTTCCTTCTGGTCCACTTCCTTGATTTTAGTCTCAGTTTTCTTTCCATCACTATTGCTTTCTCGTGCATTTTCCTTCATTTCTCTTATTGTAGCCTTCACTTTTTCATCTAATTTGTGACTAAAATCAACCAGTCCTGTGAGCATCCTGATCACCAGTGTTTTGAACTGTGCATCTGATAGGTTGGCTCTCAGTAGCTTAGAAGTATTGGCTCTGGGGTTTTGAGTTGTTCTTCTGCTTGAGCCATAATGTTTTGGTCTGTTCGTGCCTGTTACATAGGAGGGGTGAAAGCTTAGGTATTCACCAGGGTGGGTCAACCCAGTCTCTGGGTTGTGACTAGGGGCAGGGTCAGAGAGGGAGCAATGGCATTTGTTCCACTCTCTCTCAGATTTCGGTCCCCTCTGCTGCTTCCCACAAGCAAATTGGGCCCTTCTGGTGCTGGTTCCTGGGTAGGTGGGTTTGTGTACATTCTAGGACCCTGTGGGTATCTCCAAAAAACTCTCCTGTGAGGCTGAGAGCCTCTCCCAGCACCTTAACCCCGGAAAGTTTTTTCAGTCGATGCTTTTAGGCTTTATTTTCCAGCGCTGGGGCTCTGCATTGCATGGTCTGTCTCACTGTCCATTTTTTCACCTGGTTTATCTGCATGTGAATGTGTAATCGTGGTCAGCCAGCCAGCCACCTTGCGCCCTCACTGGGTCCGCCCATTGCCACCCCACGCCTGGAATCTGCCAATGACCGCCTGTGCACCTGGGTCATCCAGCAGCCACTGCTTTTTCCTGCTGCTGACTCTGCCCCTCTTGTAGGTCTGGATGAATGGTTCGTTGTTGTCGAACTTGAGTACAGTTCAATTTTCTGCCTGTTTTGGTTGTGTTTTTGTTTCTAAATCTTTGTTGTCCTTAATTTTGGTTGTGTGAGGATATACATTATTTCCACCTATGCCTCCATCTTGGCTAGCCTCTAAAGTCCCATTTTCTATGTATAAACCCTGTCCAAATTTCTCTCTTACCCATGAGCAACGAGTGTTTAGAGAAAACTACAAGTAGTCTAGCTAAGGGTGAAAGAACTAAACTGAAATTTGAGCTGTTGCTCAAAGAAGAGTTTATATTTTGAGTCCAACCAAGTTCATTGGCAATAAATAGATAATTAATTAATTAATTATCTTTGTGGGAATATAATAAATTCCAGACTCTCCACATTATAACAGTGGTAATGTCCAGGATAAATCTAACTTAATAAAGAACAAAAAAATTAAACCTAATCTCAAAAGAGAAGACAATTGAGAACAACTTTGAAAAGACCCAAGTATTGGAATTAATAGAGTATAAGGTAGCTATTATAACTACGTTTAATTAAAAAATAAAATATGTTCACAGTGAATGAAAAAAGAGCAAATCTTATCAGACAAATAGAAACTACTTTAAAATATAAAAATTCTAGAACTAAAAGTATATAATACCTGAAATGAAAAAATTCACTGGTTGATCTTAAAACAGAATAAAGGTACTGTCAGGGAACTTTAAGATAGATCAATAAAAATTATACAATATTAAAAAAGGAAAAATTTTAGTATAAAAGGATATAGAAACCTGTGGGATAATACTGAAAGGTCTGCCAAATGTAGAATAAGAGTCCCCAAAAGAGGGGAGAAGTGGAATAAGGTAGAAATAGGGGTCAGAAACTTCCTTCTTTGAGGAAAAACGTAAGTTTATAAATTCCAGATGCTTAGTGAACACTAAGCAGGATAAATATGAAGAGAACCATACTTTGGCATATAGTCAAACTGCTGAAAACCAAAAATAAGAAGAATATCTTGGTATCAAGGAAAACAAATTGCATAGCAAACAATTAAAAATACTCCTGACATTTTATTAGAAACTATGGAGATCAGAATTATAAAATACCAGTAGACATTGGAACATCATGAACATACTAGAAGCGCAAAAAAAGTAATAATTATCAGCCAGAATTTTGTATCAAGCAAAAGTTTCCTTTAAGAATATTCTTATGACATATTCAGTAAAAGAAGACTGAGATAATTTATTGCTAGCAGACCTCTGTTACATAATATACTTAAGGAAGTCCTTCAGGCTGTAGGGAAATGACGTAGATTCTTATCACTGGGGTTGATGAATTTATAAAATGTATTTTAAATATTTTAGCTATGAAAATAATTACATTATTTTTCTCCTTTAATCTATTGGGTGGTACATTATAATAACATAACTGTTGAGAACCTTTAATTTCCCAATAATTTGATTTGGCCATTATGAATTGTTCTATTTGTATAGTGTTTTATTTCGAAATTGTGAAAACTCATCACCTTCTGGTATCTCATCTTTTCAGACTTTGGTGTCAAGATTATGCCAAATTATAAAAAACTGAAAAGTTGCTGTTTACTTTTTAATTAATTAATGTTAGCTCAGTAATTTTCTTTATGTTAAAGTTTCTCTGTTTGACTTTCAAGACGTCTATAGTATATCTCACAATTCTCCTTCTTACCTATTCAAACTTTTCTTTCATACTCAATAAACAATCAATGTTTCCTGCTCTAAATATGCTGGGTTTTTTTTATTTTTTTTGCTGTCTTATGAATACTTCAGGCTTCTTCTGAGATACTCTCATTTTCAAATTCTAGCATTAAGTTCTTCCTCATAGATGAAATCATTCCTGTCTATTTCAGCCCTCGCTAATATTACTCTTTTATAAATTCATTCTAATTTATTAATTAGCTTGGTTCTTAGTGATATTTCTTTATTACATTATTTGCTAATGTTTCATGTATGCTAATCATATCTATCCAATGAGAATGTGAGCTCTTTTTTAACTAGATTTTTTTTTAAGATTTTATTTATTTATCTTTAGAGGAGAAGGGAAGGAGATAGGGAAAGAAATATTAATGTATGGTTGCCTCTCATGTGTCCCCTGCTGGGAAATGGCCTGCAACCTAGGCATGTGCCCTGACTGGGAATCGAACCGTGATTCTCTGGTTTGCAGGCCCGTGCTCAATCCACTGAGCTACACCAGCCAGGGCTGGACTAGATTTTTATTCTTTATTTTTTATCTCATATTATCCAGAACTAAACATATTCCATACCTAGTGTGAAAAAAATGTAGTGCTAAACAAATGTTTGGTTTGTTGATGAAGATTCACAAGTTATGTTGTTTATATTTACATGTGCATATGTATATTTTTGATATCTAGATATGTGTATTTAAGTCAAAACAGAGGGAGCCAATGTGAGATTCTAACTTAGGAAAATCCAGATAATTTTTTTTCAGTTTCTCCCCTTTTATTGAGGGCTATTCTGCTGCACCAACTCTGTGTATGAGAGAGTAAAGCTTGTTTTTAAACTGAGAAGGCTATTTGTTTCTCAGTCTTTGAGCTTTAGACTTTCCCTGAATTTGGAGTAATAAATCTATATGGATACAAAGGCTAGGCTTTAAAGACAAAGAATAAAAATTAGTAAAAGTGTAAGCATGGGCAAATGTTTAAATTTCTGTAGATTTGTTTCCTTATCCATGAAATGGTAATAATACCCACCTCATAGGAATCAAAAAATAAATACCTTATAAAAAATAGGGTATTTTTTATAATTAAATGAACATTATATTTTAAAGTAGTGAAAGAACTAGCCTGCTATAAGCTATCATAATTAGACATTCCAAGTGTGAATCAAATATAAATGATGAATATACATGAAAAGATTAACATGAAAAGAAGTTATTTTTAAAACTTTTTCTTTTTTCTTTTTTCCGATGTGTAGGCAGAGTATGCTAAGCCCTTACGTTATCTACATTCACAGCATAGACAAGGATGTAGAAGAACACAGGGCCCTACAACCCCTTCTGTGCCCAGCACTCAGTCTAACACTTATAAGAAGGAGAAAGATGCTGTTTTGTTTACAGGTATACACAGTGTGTGTTTATATTAAAATAACTGAAAATTAACTGCATCTAACTTTTAAACATAGCATGAAGAAAATCTTTGACCAAGGCTATCAGAATCCGGTCATATTGCCATACTATTTCACTACTTAATAACACCTGAAGACTCTCTATTAGAAAAATGACAAAGTAATATTGCTTAGTATGGAATATAAGCTGTTCAAAGCCTTTTATTGTCTCTTTGCCCAGACTGATTCTAGTCGTAATGAACAGTCTGTTCTAACTACTCTTATGATTTGATCCATTCTGTTTTTTGTGCTCAGAACATATTTCTCCATCTGATAGATTCCTATTCATCTTTAGTAACTGGGACAATTTTACCAGCACTTAAAAAAGAAAATCTGATTACATGTGGCCTAAATAATAAGATATTTGTAATCTCAAATAATAAGTCCCTCAGTAAAGCAATCTCAGGACTGATTATTTCAGAGGTTTACTGATGCATCAAATATCTACTTCCTCCATCTTTCCTCAGCTGTCTTACCAGACAGCTTGTCCTCCCAGCCTTGCTGTACAATACAGTGACTACTAGTTCAGATAACTTTTATGGGTAACAATATCCACTGTAAGAAAAAAGCTCTCTAGTCACTTTGTAAAAATGAGGATAATGTTCTCCAAAGCCCTCTAGCAGAATTCTCTTTGTGTCTCCCCGGCTGGAATATCTTCCTGCACCCATATCTAAACCAATAAATCATCATTGTCTTAGAGCAGTTTTTCCAACTTTCAAATCAACCCACAGTAAGAACTACTTTTTATATTATAATCTAATATATACGTGGAGCAGAAAATTCAGATTCATGGGGTCCTAATTATTTGTCTTTCTCTCTGTAAGTTGAACTTGATTGCAGTATTTAGTTTTTGGTACAGCTATTACTAAAGATCCATGTGATGCACTCTGTTACATTTTTTTTTAAATGCTGGTCAGGAGATGCTAAATTGATAGTGTCTAAACTGATGAGTTGTAGCTCACATTTAGAAAAGCATAGGCTTAGGTCGTTCGAGGTTCACTCCCTTGTGCTGGGAAAGAGCCTGACTCGTTTGAGGGCCATAGTTTCTTGGAGGAAGATGAAAGCAGAGTTCGGTTAGCAAAGAAAAGGGAAAATATTAAATAGGCAATCCTCTCTTTAACACATTATTCTTTAAGATTCCACTTAAGGGTCACATCTTCTCCAAAGTGTTCCCTGATAACAGTGACAGGCTGGTCTACTCTTTTAGCAAAGCAACAATCCTTGTATAAAATTTCTTGAGTCTCTCTACAGAAGAGGCAACGTAAGTAAAAAAAGAAGAAAAATGTATTAAATTAAATTAAAATTAGAATATTTTGTCCCAAACTCAGAGAATATCTGTTATATATTACCATATAAAGTAATTTGAAAGAAGATTCCAGAAGTTGGTTCAGCATTCCATCTTGGCTTGACTTAGTTCCTATATACCCCGTTGGCAGTGGCAAGGATTGATTTTTTGTTTCTTTTCACAAGCCAGGTTATTGCAACCCAGTCCTTTGTATCAAGCAGTGGACCCATCCTTCTCCCACTTGCCTTCCCCATTTGTCTAAATGACATCTACACAATTACTGAGGCCAAAAACCTAAAAGCCATTTTTGATTTCCTTTTTCCACTTATACTCCATATTCAATCTACCAGTCAGTACAGCTGGCTCTACCTCCAAATTATAACCTGAAGCCCACCATCTCCTCTGCTACAGTCCTTGTCTAATTCACCAATATGTATTCTCTGAAACACCACAACAGCCTTCTAACTGGTTACGCCATTGCTGCTCTTGCCATCCACATTCCTCTTTACCACCATACACTATCCATCTCTGAGCATACAGAGGAATCTTTCTAAAGAACAAACCAAACTACTTTATTATTCCATTTAAAACTCTTCAGCCCTGGCTGGTGTAGCTCAGTGGATTGAGCACTGGCCTAAGAACCAAAGGATCACCAGTTCAATTCCCAGTCAGGGCACATACCTGGGTTGCAGGTTGGATCCCCAGTTGGGGGTGTGCAAGAGGCAGCCTGCACATTGATGTTTCTCTCCCTCTTTTTCTCCCTCCCTTCTCTTCTCTCTAAAAATAAATAAATAAGATCTTAAAAAAAACCCACCTCTTCATATGATCAACATTTTAACCAGAATAATGTCTCAACTCTTCACTATGGCTTATGTGGTCCTATGTGATTGGCCCCTGGTACCTGTCTCATCTCATCTTAGTTCACCCTCCCCCTCATTCACTATACTCCAGCGACTCTGGCCTTTCAGTTCCTTCAGATTCCAAGCTGCTTTCACACTTTTCACTTGCTCTTTCCTCTGCCTAGTAGGCTGTTCCTCAGCCCTTAACCTGGCTGCCTCCATCTCTTCCTCAGATTCTTGAGAGAGGTCATCTATAGCCTCCCTAGGGGAAGTACCATGTTTATATTTTTTCATAATATGTACAAGTAGTTGAAATTATTTTATTTGTTTTGATCAATTTACTTATTTATTGACTGTTTCCTCCCTCTACAACAGAGCTTCCCAACCAATATATTATGGTAACCTGTTGTGCTCAGAGGGTTATAGGTATACTATAGGTGTGCTGAAATATTGATCCTTTAACTTTCAATACTGCTGGGTTGACCCTAAGGTAGCCTGGCGATGGTGCTCTCACATGTTTACAGTGGTGTACTATTCAAAGGATACTAATTAAGAATGTTTGCCATGATGTGAAAAAGGTTGGGGAACACTGCACTAGAATACAAACTACTTGAGGACAAGAAAAAAAGCTGAATTTTTTGCTAATAGCATGCATGTCTGGGGACACTTTTAAGAAGATAGAGAAATGCTGGATGGCTACCAAGCATACCTGGAAGAGTTCAACTTTGGATACTTTCTTTCTGCCAGTTGGCCAGATCCGGTTGCCATTTGCTAACTTCCCTCCATACCAACAGTGTTTAACCATCTGAGGCTTCCTGCTGGCTAATAAGACTTTACATATTGGAGATATTTGTAAATTAGGCAATACCTTTCTTCCACAAAAGTCTTCAGGACCAATTTTATGTTTATCTGTTTTAGCTAAACATTAGATCCTTGATTGTATGATTAGATCCAAGATAATCTTTTCCAGTTCTATCTTGTTCACTTAAGAAGCTTCTACTGAGGAGCTGCTAAAGATCAGGCAATATACCAGGTGTTTTGTATATGTTGTTTTGTACTATAAGGTATTTCATACAAGATATTTTCTAAATGCCGTAGTATATGTGTTCCTTTTATAAAACTCTCTTTTTTTTTATAGTTTCAGCTCAAACTGAAAAAAACCCTAAGGAATTATTTGATTTGGTTGGTCACTTAGAAGATTATGTAAATGAAAGGTAATTTATTTTTAATTTTTAAACGTTTTATTCTATTCAATCATGTTTCTTATAAGAAGAGTTCTGCCTTTTATTTTCTAGTCCACAATGAATTTATTTCCAGATTATTACTATTCAGGCCATACTACAGTCCAACACTGTTCAGTGAGTCAGCATTACATTTGGACCTTGAACACTTATTCTGTCTGCTGCAAGTTTACAGTCAAACAGAGAGAAAGACTTGGAAAAAATGAATGGAGAGAAGACCGTAGTGTTTTTTAGACACAAATTTAGTAGAAACATAAATTTTATTACACTACAACATGGATGTAAGAAATGTAGCTTTTTATTTTTGTAAAAGTTCACCTTCCTCATGAGATTCTCAAACTCTGTAATAAACAATTAATCTAGCGTGCTTTAAAATTTGTTTGGCGCAATAATACAGAGACTTTTTAGGTTTATCCCAGTCCTTCTCTTTGTTTCTGAGATGGACTTTGTGACATTGAGGAAAGGCACTTGACGAAGGGCCTTTGTTAATATCCTTGTACTGCTGGTCTCCTTCCTAGATGTTCTGTGACTGCTGCTCTTTGTGCTTCCTGTCCGTATGGTCTATTCCCTCTGAATTTAAATAAGGTTCACTCTTAACTGTCATTACTATGGTAGGACTCTCTGAGTCTCTGCCACATTCTTTGTCTGCCTGCCTTTCCAGGGGTGTCCAACCTACAGCCCACAGGCCACATGCAGCCCAGGATGGCTATGAATGTGGCCCAACATATCATTGTAAATTTACTTAAGGCCTTTTCTTTGCTCACCAGTTTTTATTAGTGTCTGTGTATTTAATGTGTGACCCAAGACAACTCTTCTTCTTCAAGTGTGGTCCAGAGATGCCAAAAGGTTGGACACCCCTGCTAGACTATCCAATACTTATGCCAAGTCTTTGCTATGGGTCACCCCACCATGGCAATGCCAGCCCCTTGGCAAACCTAAACCCAGTGACCATGTCACATGTGAACCAAGGGAGGCATGAAATGAAAATAGTATCCTCTCTGCCTAACCACTTTTCTCCCAGAATCTCAACAAAAGAATGTAGAAATACCTCTCTACCTTTGATGTTCTCCTCAACCTACACAATATTCCTTCTCCCACTCAAAAGCCAAAGAGGCACACAGATCACCTACTTGCTTCCACCAGTACTTTTGCTGTGCCCCCTGCCAAGCCAGGCAGGAATGCATGTTTTTTCCAAGTTGAAAGTTTATAGCAGAGAGTTTGGGGGAGGTGTTGGCAGCAATGTTGAGGGATGGGCGAAGCAGACAAACACTGACAAGTTGAAATAAGGCCTACGGACAATTATGCTGAACCTGTGTTCATTTTCAGGAAAAAATCTCCTCCACCAGTGAATGATTTTCATATAAAAGAAAATAAATCTATCAGAAATGATCAGTTAAGTGAGTATCATTCAGTAGGAGAGAAAAGTTTGCTCCCCTTATGCACTGAGGATGAACTGAAAAAGCCAAATGCCAAGATAATCAACATTAGTCCAGCAAAAACAGTAACTCCTCCCATGGTAATAAAAACATCTACTACTGTTCAGTAAATATGTGCATCTGCACTCCTTCTGGGAATATCATATTCTAGTGACCAGAATCTTTGATAATCCTTCTTTTGGTTTTACATGAGTAAAGTTTTAATGCTCTTTGTAGAATCCCTACCCCCAAACTGGGGATTCCTTTGCACCAGCTGAACACTTTATGTTTTCTTCATGAAGAATGCTTTATCAAAGTTTCTTGACTGTGGAGAAATATAAAATTTAAATGGTACTTTAAAAAATGAATCATGCCCTAGCCAGTGGGTCAGTTTGTTGTATTGTCATCCCATAGCTGAAAGGTTCTGGGTTCAATTCTCAGTCAGGGCACGTAACTAGTCTGCACGTGTCTGGAAGGCAACCAGTCGATGTTTCCCACTCACATCAATGTTTTTCTCTCTCTCTCTCTCTAAAAGCAAAGAAAATAAGTCCACGGGTGAGAATTAAAAAAAAAAAGACTCATATATCAATTTTCTATCAATCTACTTGAGCTATTTCAACCAGAAAATACATTTATTAAAGGCAATTTGGTAGCTCACAGAGCCTCTAGGAAGGCTGGAAAGACAATCTGGCTTGAAAGCTATTCAGTCAGGAGTCACCAAGTTACAGCCTCAGGGTGCTCTCCTGGGGCCCATGCTGCTGATCACAGATAACAGTAAATAACTCTAATTGCCGGCAGAAGACACTATTTCTAAGGCCTTCACCACTGCGGCCCTTCAAAGCTAGATATATCTACCACCATCCTCAGTGGAAGAGTTTTCACAGTGCTCATTGTTTCACTATCTTAGATATAGTTTATAGGCAGATCCCAGGCCACATGTCTGTGCCCTAACTGCGAGGGAGGCTGCTAAAGCTAGTTTCTGCTTCTCCCTAAGGTTACATAGATTTGGAAGGTGACAAAATTTCCTAAGGTATTGGACAGACCAAAGATATGACAGATCTCCACTATGGTGGCTGAGTGGATAACATTGGCATTACCAGTGGATTGCAAAACTAAATCTTCTGTCATTTTTGGAGAAAGCATAGGCATTAATATCTCCTTCAAAATAAGTACACTAATATAAAATTAGATATATCCTAGTTTCTTATAATTTTAATCATATTTCTAAAGGTAAAGTAGCAAGCATTGAGTCAAAGTTTACAAAATAAATGCTGGTAACCTTCATATTTAACAGTTTCTTTGGAGTTAGTTTTTCTGACCTAGAATGGAAATTTGTGGAAGAGTTTACTGACTAGCTCATACATACAGATTTTGCTACAAATAATAATAAATAATACATAAAATTATTATTATTAATTGATAAAAATAACTTATTTTTATCAATTAAAAATAAACCTATTTTATTTAATAAAATGAAAATAATCTATTTTAAAATCAATCTATGACTTTAGTTACTTTATTCTGCAAATATATATATTTAGCACTTTTTTTGAGCTGTGTTGGGACATGGTAACAGATATAATCATTATAAAGGTAATTTTAGATTTTCTGAGTTATTTATTAGGATATTCAGACTTTATAATTTGGGCTTGTAATCATCTATGTCTGTTAAGACTTTTGACTCAATCCATTTTCTGATATGCTTCTTATTTCTATACATGGAAACTAAGAAATGTCTGAAAAATGTTTCATTCTACCAATATCCCACTTTATTTCAAAAAGGATTTTAGGAGGCCAAAAGTTCAGGTTTTAACTCTAACATCTCAATAGCATATTAAGAAGAGAAGGTAGTATGTCACATACAAGTACTTGGGTTTTTGGTGTATGCGGGGTTTTGTTGTATGTGGTTTTTGGTCTATTTTGGGTTTTTGACTACCACTATTGTTCATATTAAAATTTCTATGTAGTCATTTTCAGAACATTTTATTTTATGTATAAAAATACATGTAGCCTTCTTGCCTCCATAGACTGATGACCAAGTACTCTTTTCTTTAATCTGCAGGAACAAAATGATACAAATCCCATAATTTTCCATGAGACTGAATATGTACAAATGTTACTTTTGACAAGAAATAGACCTCCTCCCCATCCTGTGGAAAATAGAAACATTTGCCCGCATAAAAAAGCAAATTTTGTTTTGGAAAAAAATTGTAAACTTCTCAGATCTTTAATTAATGATAAGTGTATTACTTCTTCTAAACCTAAAAGCACTAGGCCTAGAACATGGAAGAAAGGCATTCAAGCAATAACTTTTGAAGTGAGCCATAGAGTTGTAGAGGATAAATTAAAGAAGAAGAATACTATGCAGACATTTAAAAGAGCATCTTGGAATAAACTCCAAAATTTCTCAGAGCCTTTTTCTAGCCTAACAAAAAAATTTGTAGGTGTCCTTGGTAAAACTGTTACTCAAGAAATGAGTGCTAAGACTGGCCAGTTTGAAAGACTGTTGTCTACAGTAATGCCAATGAGCAAATCCAGTGCCTCACCTGTCAAATATTGTTCAAAGCCTTTTAAAAATGTACTCAAAGTCCATACATCACATAATGTCACTCCACTGGATGATTTGTTAAAATTTTCGAGTGAAAATTAAATGTCTCATAAAATATTGTTTACAGCAATACTTGGGTAACAAGAATCAAAACGTTTCAAGATCATCAAAGAAATTCTTATTTGAATAGTACTGTTCTGATGGATGGTATAAAAAAGCAAAGCACAGAAATTGGATTTACAAATCAACAGCAGTCTAGGAATAACCAATGTTTTTACAAAATAAGAGGACAAAAGAAATACTTATCAACAAGAGGAAGTAATTCATGAATTTCTGTGATCTCAGTTGGAGTCCTCAACTACCAGCATTCCTACAGTTTAACAGTGATTCAGACCAAGAACATTATAAACTGATTCTGGAAATTGGCTATTAGAAGCCAAAATGTCCATAACCTTACTCTATAATTGAATATTAAAAAAGCAAATGTGCCACTAACCTGATGCATGAGGAATTAATCATTTTGGATGATCATCGTGTGTCAGCATTTTGGATAATCATTGAAAAACAGTATTTTACATTAGCATTTCATGTAATTAAAAGGGCTTTGTAAAATTTCAAATAGTTTTTTGTTAGTAAATGTTAGCATTTTGTTACTATAACATGCCTTTTTTCAGGTATAACTTTGACTTTTTTCTGAACTGTTAAATAATTTAAAAGAATAACCTCTCATAAGCTAAATAATTTTGGTAGCAAATTCAATACAGTATTGAACATTTTAAGTTTATTATTACATTGCTATTTCACAGTTTCTCATTAACTTCTCATTGACCCAAATAGTATAAAGGCAGAAGTCAATTTAGAAACTAAAGTTGCATTTCAAAAGTTTAGTTGTAATCCATTTGTTAAAGGATTAAAAAACAGAAACCTTAACTGGTAGTGCTTGAGGAGATGTGGGTTTAATTAGAAGCACTTCATTTAGGGAAGGCTTTGGAGGTCTTTTGAAACTTTCG